GTGTGTGTGTGTGTGTGTGTGTGTGTGTGTGTGTGTGTGTGTGTGTGAATGCTGCTCTGTTTCATGATGGAGTAGAGAAGGAAAGAGGAGACTCGAGTAGAGATGACATCTGGATGTGAATCCAGATTGTTTGTGATGAACGAGCGACGACAAAGTATTTATTTCACGTTTCTTCTGATAAGACAGAGTTGTTGAATCCACAGAGGAGCTGTGATGAATACTGATGTGTTCTTGTTGCTGGTTATTTATTTACAACGTTTCATACATATCGTGTCATATAGCTGATGGTGTGATGACAGACACGGATGTGTGAAGAGGTATTTCTGATTTTAAGTTCATTCAGGACAATTGTTCAGTTCATCTAAACATTTCCTTTCTCTTGTTGGGAGACGGAGCTTCACAGAAGGACAACAGACAGTTCTTGAAGAGCTCTTCGGATCCACTCTCTTCATGTTGTCGCTGTGCATCCCTTCGATCCAAACACGCTGGAAACGCGCTCGATTCTTATTTCATTTTCTCTCTCAGGGTGCTGAGGAGGTGTGAGGAGATGATCCAGAGGTACAGCAGGGAGCTGAACTCAGACGGAGCCGTGGGGAAAGCAGTGGAGGACTGTATGAGGGCCATTATCGGAGTCCTGCTCAACCTGACGCACGACAACGGTCAGAATCACACTTAACTGCTCCACTTCAACATGTTCACAGGAGGTTTTGTTCCTGGAAACTAAGAGGTTGATTCATTTTAATGGATTTATTTATATTAAAAACACGGTGTGCTCATAAATGTGTGTCTGTGTGTAGAGTGGGGCAGCACGAAGACCGGCGAGCAGGAGGACTTAATCATGACGGCTCTGAACTGTGTCCTCAAAGTCCCTCAGTATCTTCCTCAAGAGCAGAGGTTCGACATCCGGGTACTGGTGAGTATCTCTCTCTCACACACACACACACACACACACACACACACACATACACACTCTTGAAATGATAAGGTGGCAGATCAGTTAAATGACAAACTTTAACTGTGTGTGTGTGGCGTTCAGGGTCTGGGTCTGCTGATCAACCTGGTGGAGTACAGTGCCCGGAACAAGTACTGTCTTATGGAGATGGAGATGGAGGGAGGTCAGGGTCCCTGCGACTCCACCGTCCTGCTGAACCCTCCGCTCCAGGACATCGCCTCCACCGGCCCGCTGAGCGCCATCGCTGCTCTCGTACAGGTACACATATATATATATATACGTGTGTGTGTGTGTGTGTGTTCAGGCTGCACGAGGAAGCAGCTTAGCATCCGTCCAGGCTACAGCTGCTACTATCAGGTTGGTTTCATCATCAATTAGTATTTTGAGTCTTTATGTTAGGAAATAGAGTTAGCTAAGTAGTCGAGAACACAGAACAACCAGCAACACCTCACATGTGTGAAGCTAGAAACGGAGTGTTTGACATTTGTGCTTCATAAGTAACTTGTAACATAGCTGACTCTTAATTTTGATTGAGTCATCGTTTCAGCCCGAACACAGACAGGCGGGACCTAACAGGGAGCCGGCTGTTCATAGTTGTCTGCTTGACTCGCCTCCAGTAATATCTAGTCTCAGAGATATGTACGCAGCAGGTGGTGTACGGGAAATATTTCATACTGATCACATTGTACATATTATAATGTGAATTAATAGTCATATCATCCTAATGATTAATCCGTGTTTTTGCTCTGCACAGCTCAGTTTCCCATGAGCACCACCCGAGCTCCATTTAAATCCAATCATCTCACTTAATCACATTTGTCTGATGCTCTCCCAGCGAGGTCAGCAGCTGACGTAAGCAGAGCAGCGAGAGCTAAGAACCAGAGCAGAGCTGCACATGATTTACTGTGGATAAGGATTGTCCTGACTTCAGGAACATGTAAAACACAGGAAGTGTTGAAATTAAGATTATCATAATTCACATGGAAAGTTTAACATTTGTTCCTTTAAGTTTTAAAAACACGACTGCTTTAAAGACTTCACTGAGAGGAGCTTTTACACCAATTAACCCTGTAATAGTAATAGATAGAATACATACAATAATAAGAATATACCCAGGTAGCCTGACTACTGTGGCGTCACAGCAAAGAGGCTTTTATTCCGTCTACTCTTCGTCAGAAATGTAAAGCTCTTATTATGAAGGATTTGTAATTTCTGACTTTGGCGCCCCCCGGTGGTACTTTCGCTAACTTGCGACCGTCTCCATGTTTGTCCTCAGCTGTTCCTCCAGCGGGAGCGAGCCGCCATCAAGGCCGAGGAGCAGACCGATGACCTCATCAAGGAGGCGCCGAAGCCGGCGCTGGACAAGAGCGGCGAGTGGCAGGAGACGGGCGGCGAGATCCAGTGGGTGGCCAACGACAACACCACCCCCACGGACAAACAGGAAGAGGAGAAGAAGAAGGAGAAGGACGAGGAGGACCAGGAGCTGGACCTCAACAAAGGTACGTGTAGATTTAAGAACGAGAACAAACGACCTGAGAATGTTTCCTCCTCCTCATCATCCTCTTCCTCCTCCTCTCAGCTCTGCAGCATGCAGGGAAGCACATGGAGGACAGCATCGTGGCCTCCTACACAGCACTGCTGCTGGGCTGCCTGTGTCAGGGGAGCACGGTGAGCCACACACACACACACACACACAAGGACAATATAGAAGTGATGCACTAATACTCACTAAAGCTCAACATGCAAGTTTCCCAAAAAAAACAGAATTCCTGTAAGGTTGATGATGGACACACACACTAGAGGACACACACAGATCCATTACTTATGATGAATACATGCAGACATATAAAACTGAGGTCTATGCATCACGCACTCATAATTATCTGACATTTAGATTAGATTTTCTGATCCTTTATTTAGTGTTTATCGTGTTTGACTCCCCCCCCCCCCCCCCCCTCCCCCCCTCCTGTCTCTCCACCAGCTGAATGTGACTACTGTGAGAGAGAACCTTCCTAAAGGAGATTTCTCCATCATGACAGAAATGCTGAAAAAGTTCCTCAACTTCATGAACCTCACTGTGAGTCTCAGCTGTTCATATCTGTCATCTGTTAACAACAGAGACACAAACATAAACTGCTCCAACGTTTCTTAAATCAAATGTTCATTTACAATCAGTTTTATCAGCTTTTAATTTAAAATACTGCTGCTGTGCATATGTGTTGATTTGCATAAATGGGTTCCATACTCAGCCTTCTACAGATCAATGAGATCTTTTGCTGAACAGATTTCATGCTCAGCAGATGTGTTTAGTTGTTAAGCCGTGTGTGTGTGTGTGTGTTCCTGTGTGTGTGGTAACTGACCTCTCTCTCTGCAGTGTGACATCGCCACCACAGGACAGAAGTCCATCTCCCGGATCATTGACTATCTGGAGCACTGCTAGAGAGAAGCCTGTCTCTCTCTCACACACACACAACCACAACCATCTTCTTCATCTTCGTCACCACTATCATTATCATCTTCATCACCTCAGAAGAATGAAACATGCCTGTTCCAGGAGTGAATCTAACACGCACCTCTTCGCCTCCTCCTCCTCCAGTAAACGGAGCTCGATAAGTGAATGAAAGGGAGTTTCTTTCCCCTAAATTAACTTGAGATTAACTTACATTTGTTATGACTTCATAGGTTATGATCAGATTTTATTTTACTTTTTTTATTAAACAAACGGTCCGAGTCAGTATTTTATTTTCCTCCGGCCTCTCCTCTATTTATAAATGTCTCAGAATGATGGCTTCTTCTTCTTTTGTTGAATCTGTTTTTTGCTTTTGATACGTTTCCTCTTTTTCAAAGTTCAGCCCCCCCCCCCCCTCATCATCGATTGGTGACAGACTGGAGTGGAGCTGCCATTATTCTGCAGCCTGTCATCAGAGCCTTGCACCCTCAGCTCTGCCTCTGGAGCTGATAATCGCCAAAACAACTCGAGTGGTTAAAAAACAGCCACCACCGATCGAAATAATAGCTTTCTGTGTTCTTCTTCTTCTGACTCTTTGACCTCTCCGCTCCTCCAGGAGGCGGTTTGAGGCAGATAAATCAAGTATTGATCCTTTCTGGCCAAATAGCGCCGAAGCGGTGCCGGTTCAGACCCTGAATTGCAGGCTTTAGTGAAGTTAAGGTGGTATTTTAAGGCGGGACCGCCGGTAAACGTTGACGTTAGGTCTGTTGTTTAGCTTTTTCATCTGTATAACCAGAGATTGTCTCTCTGTGGACGTAAGAGCTCTTTGTTCCTCTGCAGCAAACTAGCTGGTTTTAAATTGGTGGTTCTTCTTGTGCCGTTATCGAAACAGGTGCTTCTCCCAGCATGCCGAGCGCACACAACAACACACCCGAGACTGAATGACCCTCGAGGTTGTTTAAAACTCTCTGGAAACTTTAAACGACAGAAACTTTTCCCTTTCAAAGAAACGATCGCCCCCTCGCTCGACATCAGCGCCGCACGTCTCTCACCGGGACCCGAGCCCTCCGGACCAGAACCTGTCCTCCTTCAGCTCCTTTCAATTACCGCTCAGAGAAGAGCCCTCGATTACAGCACAGAGGTGAAGACGAGCTGCTCTGCTCTGGTGTGAACTCGACCACCAGCGGAGAGGCGTTCACAGATCAGGTTGATACTTTCTTCTTCTTCGGTTCGTTTTTTTTAGCCACAAAGACTTCAGCTTGTAGTTTCTGTTTCACGTTTCCCTAAGCCTGCGGTGTCATTCCCAGGATGCATTGCAGCAGCGTCAGAAGGAGAGTGCATTAGTTTGTGAACTGTAGAAACGTTGATCAGTCCAACACGGCGACTGAGAGGAAGTCAGTCTTCTTCTGTTGTCTTCAGACTCTCAGACAGCAAGTAGAGACCGTGAGGACGTTCGTCCTCCATATTCATGTGACACTTTTTCATGAGGCAGCAATGATAAAGGGTTCATAAGTTGATGTGACTGTCTCATAAATGGTTAATAACTCATTTAGTTATTAGTTATCGGGGCAGATAATAGATAAGAATCTCTGGACGTTCTCTTTGATGAGACTTCAGTAAACTGAAGTTGATTTGGTGACGAGTCGTTCATAAAGCATTGATTTATGAAGCATGAATACAGCCGGTGGTTAGAACCTTTGTACAGGCGGCCTCATGAAGAAGTGAAGGACTTGTTCACCGTGATGAAGACGAGCGGAGTGGAACACAGACGAAGATGTAAGACTTTCAAAATAACCCACAGCACTTCAGTTTAATCAAACCGAGAACAAAATGACAAAAACATGATTTTTAAATGATCACATGAGCAAAATCACTTTTTAAAGCTTTCGGTTCAAATTCGTCATTTGTTCTTTTAACTTGTGTTTAGTTGTTTCCTTCGGGTGGGAAGAGACATGATTCTCGCTTTGATTTGGAAAATTAAGAAATATTTGTTTATGTTGAACACAGACAAGTTCTCTAGAATTTGATCTGTTGTGAAAGTTTGAACCGCGTGTCGTCAACCATGTTCATCCCCCCCCCCCCCCCCCCCCCCCCCCCCCCCCCCCCCCCACACCCACCCCCCCTTTACCCCCCCCCCTTTTTTTTTTTTTTTTTTTTTTTTTTTTAAACTTTTACAAGAGCTTTATTCACAGACGTCTGGAAGAATGAATGGACGAGCTTATTGTACATAGTTCTTGTACATAGATTGATTTCCTCATGTAGGGGGAGAGGCTGATGGGTAGTGGGTGGGGGGGTTACATTTAAATTTAGACCGGTAGACTCTACTTTTCTGAATCTGACTCTTTTTCATTTTCTAAAGCTGTTCCTCCCGGTCATGTTGTTCTGGACAGACGGACAGAGAGCTTCTTAAAGCCAACTGCAGGAAAACTTGATCTTTGTACCAATTTGCTGACTGTTTTTGGTTACCTGTATATAATTTTAAAATAATAAAAATTGCTACTTTCAGTACTTTCCTGCTCCGCCTGTCTTTTCTTTCTGTTGATCTTTTCTTGTTTTTGAAAGATTCATTTTGGTGGAAAAGTTCTTTCTTCTGCAAACTTTTGTTTCAGATTATTGGAGAATATCTACAACTTTGTTCCAAGACACCGACACCGTGAAAGAGATACAATGACATCAGAAGTGTTTGTGTTAGAAAAATACATTTAAACTCATTAACGGGTGGTTCAGACAAACATCTAAAATACATAACTCTTTTGGCAAATTGGAAAAAATTGCAATAAATCCAGGAGCTTAATGTCTTTTGCAGGAAACATAATTACATATATTTTTTAAAAATGAATTGTGTATTATGTCATTTGGTCCCGCTCGTTCTCTCCCACATGTCCTCATTATAACTCCTCTGCCTCTCCGCTGTGCGCGTCGGGCCTCCGCTGCTCTTCCCGATGTGAAAGTCCCTGACTGGCCCCTCCGGGTCCCCAGCAGCAAGTGTGGTCCCCTGTGAGGGTGGAGCGGTCCCCTGTGAGGGTGGAGCGGCCCCCGGGGGTCGCGTTGCGCGGGTCTGTGCCGGGGCTTCGTAGGGTTCCTCCTCGAGCAGCTCGCTGAGGGTTGCGATGTAAATCTGCGCCATTTGGAGCGTCTCGGATTTGGAGAGCTTCTTGTCGCTCTCCAGGTTGGGGATGACGCTCCGCAGCCGGTCGAAGGCGACGTTGAGCCCCAGCATCCTCTTCCTCTCCCGGGCGTTGGCAGCCAGGCGTCTCCGTCTCTGCACCCGCTCCAACGAGCACGTATCCGGCTGAAGGTAGTGCAGCGCGGGGCCCAGCCGGAGCTCCACGATGGCGCACGGAGCGTCTCGGTGGTCGCAGCCGCGTCTGGTGCGCTCTGCCCCCGGTCGCTCCTGCGCGCGGCTCCGTTGCAGCAGAGCTTGGATGTCCGCGGTGCCGACTCCTCCCTCCGGGGCCACAGAGATGTAAGGCGCGAAGAGGCTTTTACTCGGCGGCATCACTTTTTTATTTTCTAGTTCCTCGGAACAAACTTGCACCAAAGTCCCACCACGGCCCGTCCACTGAGAACTTCTGCAAAGTCACACACGTTCAACTTTCGCCACTTCTGATGGGTGAATTTATGGAGATGGGAGCCACGGGAGCGCGCCGTGCATGCTCCGGGGGCGTGGAGAGGGTCGTGTGCTGCCCATTGATCAGAGCCAAAGTCCACTGCAGGAGGTCCATTAACCAAGTTCATCAAAAGAGGATTAGAGGCGTCTCAGTGCGCCGCTGTGGGCCGATACATGGAGGCGGCCAAGCAGCGAGGAGGGGAGGAAGGAAGGACAGAGGAGAGGAAGGATGAGAGAGGTGGTGTGATGGTAAAATTAAGTATAAATGAATTACAATAAGATTGAAATCAAAATCTCCATAATGACAATAATAATAACGAGTGAATAAATAGCCTTTAAGTTGTTGCAGATGTTTAAAAGTACTAATACTAATTCAAATTAGACATGCTTGAATTAAAGAAAATTAATATTAGACGCCAATCTGAATGTTTTTGTATTTTATATATACAGTGTATATATTTATATATACTTTTCCTCCAGGACAGTATGAGGGAAAGTGAACTTATGTCCTCTGCATTTATCTATTCACTGTTTTTCATTAATTAAACCTGGAGGAACTTACATTTTACAATTAATAAACTTACACGTGGTCGTTATTTTATTACTCATTTAAATTTGACCAATTGCAGTCCAACAAAACAAAGAGATTAAGGCTTCATCGGTCCTTATACCTCAACATGTTATTCATGGAAATCAGTTATTTTGGGTTATTTTCTGTGTTTTGTCAAAGTTTCTGAGGATGATGGAGTGAGTCTGAAAGAACTCGTGACTTCCTGGCTTTTTAGAATGTGCTGCAGAGTTTTTTTTCCTTCATCTGCACTTTCTAATTTAGTTTGGGAAAGTCCCACATGAGTAAAGTTACACTTGAGGCCTGTAGTACATGTGCAGTGTGTGATATGGGTCTCGCTCATCACCGGTTCCTGTTGTTTTTAAGGTTAATTCAAAGCGTCGCGGCTCCCTGAGGTTCAGAGCCTGACGATGACTGACAGTAACATGGCAGCCTCGTATCCTCTGGACCAACTCGAATGGGATTTAGCAGCGTGTCCTGGCCGCCGTGTGCCAGCACTCTGCCGGGCCGGGCCCTCACAGAGGCCTCAGCGTGGCACCGAGATGGCTGCGTGACACACAGGAACATAATGGACTCCTTATGGCCAGGAGGACCCTCGCTGTCTTGAGGCCGCAGGGTTTGGGTTTCTTTCTATACTCTCCGATCTGGAGCACGTGGGGAGGTTTGGCTTCGCGTCTCGGATGACAGTTGTTGGCACGCTCCGCTTTATTAAACCCAATGAAATGGCTCATTGCAGCCAGCGGACGGACACGGGCCGCAGATCAAACCCTCACACCGCCGTGACAGGCTCACACAGACGACACCCAGAGCTGTGTGATGGGCAGCCATTTATCTCCACTGCGTCTGCACAACAGAGAAGGAACATTGCTATTTCTTTACCAGTCTGCACTCACAGCTGTATTATTGGTTAAAGGATGAAGCTTTCTTTGTCCTATACTTTAGTTGAGTGAGTGAGTCTCTCAATACTTTCTGACTTCCTGTCTGTTGCTCTCAGCTCTCAGCCCATTGGTTAGACTGATGACGTAAAACCTTCATAACCACCTCACCAATATAGTTTCCTTTTTATAAGAAGCTCAGTGATTTCACTCAAATAGTTGCTCAGTGTAGTTTTTAGCAAACGTGACTCAAAGAGGAGGAAGCGGTGCATTTGTTGGGGACTATTTCCAGCGGCGGATGAATCCACATTCAGTGGTGAGTCCAAAATAAACTACAAAGGAACCAGTGAGGCTCATTGATGTGATTTAATAGAAGAGATAAGAGGCTGTGATACTTGTTAGATGCATTCACTGTTGCTTTTCTTTTACCTCATGGATTTAATGACCATATTTAGGTTTTTCTATTGATTTTGACTGAAAAACAAACGGACTAGTCAATAATAAGGAGCGGTTCGCTGGCTCGTTGGAGCCAGCGGAGGACACAGGCCGCGGATCAAACCTCTGTCCTCCCCACTGAGTCAGTGAGGCGACGCAGAGATGGGTTTTCAACCCGCATCCACGGCAGCAGTGGTGGGTTGTAGATGGATTTCCCTTTTGAATGCACTCGTGATCCAAAACCATCTTAGGTTAGAAAGAGCGCTGACAGTGAAGATCACTTTCATGAGCACGATTCTAAATGCACACCAGAGTGAATCTAGTTCACAGCCACCTCTGAAATCTCAGATGTCTGAGTGCCCTTAAATGCACCAGCAGGACAGAATAACACCTGGTGATAAGA